TCCATCATATCTCTGAGCTGATCAGTGATTTCAGGGAAAACTTCAGTCACAGAATGGCCCATAAGGTTGGGATGTCTTGCCCCTATCATCTCTCCATAAGCCTCATTGTAGACTGTTGTGAGCTTCTTGCCCCAGTAGATTGCTGTTGGCTGAGAGTTGCATAAAATCTGGCTATAAGACTGGTGAAGCAGCGATGGCCACCGGTCCATAGCACCCAGGGGAGTCGCGCTCCAGTCAACGCTATCAACCATATCGAGAAAAGGCTCTTGGTCTGGCATAAAATCCGGTAGGACTATAGGCGGCTCGGTGGTTGCTCGAACTATCCGGGGATAGGACAAGTCTTCTGCGGACGACTCTACCGAAGGCACTGAGGGCACGGTTGAAGTATGCGGATGCAAGATACCGCTGCTAGATTCTCTGCCTCTCGAACCATCCAGGCGAATCTTTCTCGGAGGTTCTGAGGAGATTGGGAAATCGTTGGAGCTCACAACAACCCATCTGGAAAGCAAGGTGTTTCGAGTCCAAAAGTGGTTGTTATACAAAAAGGATTGTGGTGGGTTGGCGTCTTGGGCAGTGATCCAGTCCCAGAATCTCGTGTGGTCGCGGCTTGATAGTGATCCTAGGACCTCGAAAAGGGCAGGCTTGCTCACCAGGGCCGGATTGCTGTAGACAACCTCGGCAAGCGCGGGGTCCTTGAATGAAGTTGGTAGCGCAACAACGAAGCTCGGTCGGGGGTCGGACTCGAGCAGATCAACAACGCCCACACCGAGGAGCGGGGGAGGATGCATGGCTGCGGGCAGGGTATGAGTCGTCCGCTCAGCCAAGGGATCGGCAGGTCTCGTTGTCAGTATCTGCTTTCTCTCCCATTCTCAACCAATCTTGGCCTAGAAAGAGAAGAGGTTTTGCACCCAGGCCAGATGCTCAACTCTTTTTTGGCGCTGTTCCTCCTCTCTGATTTGCGGCTGGTTGGTGAAAGATGCCGTCGGTCCCGCCGGTGAAGATAGAGCCTGGATCGGCAAAATGCCCGCGCGCGCGATGTGGCCCTGAGCGAGGTGAGGTGAGGCTGATGGGCGGGTTTTTGATGCAGGAGAAGGAGATGCGAGAAAGGCGCAGGCGCAAGTGGGAAAGCAGAGAAAAGGCGGCAGAAGCGAGCCGGGGTTGTAATGTGTGCAATCGTGGCCCAAAGTGGATGAGGCAGGCGAGGGTGGTTGAGCTCGGAAGTTGCGATTCTGCTTGCCGGGTGGAGTTGAGCGCACGCGGCGGCACACCCAGTCCGTGGTGAGCGGGCCACCAAGTTGAAGATTGGTTGGTTGCTGGTAGAGTCGTCTTGATGGGATTCAGCAGGACCCCCAATTTCCTACCAAGCTTGTTAGATGGAGGTCGCGGGATGTTCGCCGTGAATGCGTTGTCCCGGAGGATGTGTAAATCTGCAGCGGTGGGTATCTCGCATCGGACCTTGGCCGATTTTCGGGTCGCTGGCAGTGAATTGGTCCAAAACTGGGATCCGCAAGCGTAGGGAAGAAGCCTTGATTCGACGTGCAGGCCAAGATGCGCGGTAGAAGTTACCTTGGAAAGAAGGTGTCCCAAGGTGAAGAAGAGGCAAGATGGGATGGGTAGACGGGCACGCTGGCAGGTCAGAACAGATGGTGAGAGGAGGATGATCACTGGTGGATGATGTGACGACCCTTTCCAATTGTTGACCGGGGTTTAGTGTCGGAGGGGGGCTGAACAACGGACGTCGCAATGTGGCTTGCTATGCAGAGGGCGGTCTCTCGGAAAATAGCAGACTTGGGTTCTTGGTGCCAACACCAGGTCAGGCTCTCCTTTGTCCTCACGGAGTGGCCTCGGGCTGACCTGGAGCCGGACAGAGTAGGTGATTTTTGGTTGTCGCGAGATTGGCAGGCTGGTGATGCCAGATGGTGGAGGTGGGTTTGTGAGAGGAAGCGAGAGGAAACGAAAAGTGCCTATCCGGGCAGTCAAGGTCACGCTGGCAAGGAGGTAAGGTTTAGAAGAGCGGCATCCCAGGGCTGGGCGGTGGAAAGGCGGAAAGACAAGGGACGGGGGGGACGCGGAACGGAATCCGATGACGAAGGCTTCTTCCTGCCAAGGTATCGTGACCCCGGCACGCGAGTCTTTCGAGTCTACTGTGCACTTATTATCCGTATCCGTAGAGTCTACCTGCAAGTAATGTAAGGTAAGTACGGAGTACGGCTGAATAGAGAGTCCTGGACGATAAGGGGGGCAGAAGTGGAAGGTGCACTAATAGGTTGTAGGCGGCGGCAAAGAAAGAATGATTTAGTATGGCTTATTTCTTAGTGCTTCCGTCCCATGCCCTTTTGAGTTGTGCGTCTCAGCCCTCGCACTCACGGTATTGGACAACTTGTCGCTCCTCCCCTCCTACGCTACGGCACGGCATGATGTTGATTGGGGTGGGGAGAGAGCCCCGTGAAGGCGGTCAAGAAGTAGTCCAATATTCCAATCTGCTCCGGTATTCCAGCGTGCCAATTTACTTTACCAGTTACCTTACGGTAGGTAGGATGCATGGATGGAACAAGATGTTTAGTGATATTGGGTGAGATTGGGGGATCCATCATCCGGCCCCCGAAGACCAATTTTAGAAGAGATCAACTCCCAGAGTGTCACCTCGAGCGTGGTATCCGATCGCAAAGGTTCTGAATTGGGCCAAAAAGACCATGTCGTCCGCATATGTATCCGTACGTCTGCATCTGCCAGGGAAGCTGCAGCAGCAGCAAATGCAATAGAAGAATGAGAAAATTGAGAAAAAAAGAGGCCCCAACCAGCGCAGCATGGAACGGGGGGCGGGCAGGGGCAGGCAAAAAGTGGGAATGCCCAACACTCTCCGAAGGTCGACTTCCTTCCCCGAGGAAGAGAGAGAAAAAGAGGCCCCACGATTCCACCCGGTTCGCAAATGGAATTCACGACGCGGCAACCAATCATGAGCAGCCAGGGTTGCATCGTGCCTCCCTGGACCGTCTCTTCAGTACTGCACTAAAAGCTTCGATGGAGACCTGGATTCGACGCTACAAGACCTGTCAACCCGTGCTAAATCGGATCGTCTTCTTCTCCGTCTTCTTTTACGGATATGGCGCCTTCCAACCATTCCACTTGGCCCCAGCCGTGTCTGCATCTTGAGACCTTCCATCTCGATAAACAGAGCTTTAGAGGTTCTGGTGGAAGATTGACCCCTCCATTTTCTGACATACCTTAGCTAAGGTACCGACCTATTGAGAAGGCGCGCATTGAGCGGTAATAGTCATCAAAAAGATAGTTCAGCTCGCTCATTTGCCAGTGACGTTATAGCCCCACGTCATCCCGACTTTCACACGTGGAGTCGCCAATAACAACCAGCGTCCTCAACCCCCAATACCACCAACGCAGGCACCTTCCTTTCCCCCATCCCGGCCACATTTCCCACCTCAATTGCAACCATCAAAAAGCCAACGTCGCTAGTTTCCGAGACTCCATCCGATTCATACCTAGCTGTTTGTTTACTTCTTTCCCCCCTTTTCCTGGCCTTACACCACGCCTGTTAAATATTATCCTGTTCCTGAAGGCTGAAGAGAAAGAGAGTTTTCGGCCCTGGCGGCTGCTCGCTGCTGGTGGTTGCCAGATCGTCCCTTCCCGCGCTCCCGACATGCACATGATGTAAGCGCAGATTTGGGGGGGGGGTTGACCTCTGCGTTAACCCTGACGTCACATCGCTTCCAGACGGCATCATCCTCGTTCCCGGAGTGGAAGGCACGGATTACTTGCCGTTCGGCCAATCAGAGGCCACTTGCCAACGTCGTTACGAGTGAGCCAATGAAAACCTCTCAAATGGTCGTCACAGGAGAAAGCTCCGGAGCAAAATCACCAGACAAGACCATACCGGTGACCATAGACCAGTCGGTTGGGACTTGCAGATTCCAGGAGATGGGTACGCTGTACGGATACGGAGTCTCTGTACTACACGATACAGAAAGTCGCATACCTAGAAATCCGATCGGCAATGCACCTAAATTAAAGACGCGCTCCACAACCCCCCCCTCGGCTGACTTGACTTTGTGCAGTTTGGGGGGTTTGGAAGCCGAGCTTTTGCTAAGGTGGGAATACTTCACCGAAAAGGCCAACTGGTGGAGAGACACCGATCCTCGTCGTTTTCCATTGTTAAACCAATGCGATCCGTCTGTAATAGTGCACTACGCGAACACGATGTTGCACGGATAGCAGCCGAGTGTCTTACTTTATGAGACCTTCAACGTCATTACGCCATGCGGCGCTTTCTCACCGTGTAATAGCCAAATGATAACCCCGCTTTGGCCCTTCAGCCAGCCACCAAAAAAGCAAATTCCAAAAGAATGTAGGTGAGATTAAAGGTCCTTTACTGGACCTGTTTGTTGAAGACTGTATTCTCAAGATTTGTGATGCTGGTCACTCGAAGCCCGTACCTACCTATATTGCAAGCTTCCCATCTTTCGAAGGTGAGACTGTCTGGCGGCGAGCATTCTACAAGAATGTGGACAAGGCACGCGCGGCATCAGATTTGAAATCCCATTGTCTTTACAGCTAGATTCAAGGAGGTCACTTTAGTGGATGGTCAAAGATTGAACAATGTCGTTGTCATCACAACCGCCAATAGAATAGCTAGGATCTATAGCTAAAATCAAGTGTGTCCAATCAACTCATTCCTGCTGGCACTCCAAGTGTCTAAGACTATAATACCACGGCGAACCTGGATGCGTTCCTCTCGATGCTCTCCTCCCTTTCGTACCACTTCGTCTAAGCGAGCCTTGGAAGCCGTCCGCTGTCTCGCTATGCGCCTTGTTTCCCCCTGCCCAACTGCCCTTTGCTGTGTCCCAGTCGCTCGCTTCCTCCAAAATGTGAAAACGTGATATCAGCCTAGGGGCAACCATCTTAACCCCGTCTAATGATTAGTTTCTTCGCATCGCCGAAGCACGGAGGCCCCTCCGCGATGTGGGTTTACACCGCTGTTGCCCCCTTTATCGCGCAGCAACCAGACTCATGTAAATACCCCAAGCGACACCCGCAAGAGAACCAACCAAGTTTCTACCCTCAATGCTCTTGATGAAGGCGAAGTTCACCAGACTGACCATGGGCCACAACTTCAGGCCAGCGATGAAGATGGGCACGAACTCGAGCTGGCTCTTGTGGACGACGGACTGCCAGTCAACATTACTATAGTCGATGGCGCCCCGCGAAAACAAAAACGTGCCCGAGTGCTGCGCGGCCGCGAGGTGCTCCGGGCGCACCATCGCCGTCTGGATGCTGTGCATGAACATGCTGAAAGCGAGCGTGTTGAGCGCGGCGCCGACGGTCTGGTCGAGGACGAGCTTGATGAGCGTGTTGCGGATGTTGAGCTTGGGCTCCACGAGCTGGTCCTCGCGCGCCTCGCGGTCGAGCGCTTTGTCGTCGTTGGCCGCGGCCGAGGCGATGGCCTTCTTGGTGGGCGAGACGTGGTAGGCCGGGAAGCTCTCTTCGAGGAAACCTTGCCTGGTATGTGTCAGTGACGACGGTCTAGGGTACGACGCGTATCGTGCATGCAGGTAGAAGAGGGATCCGCGATGGTGAAAGACAAGTGCTCGCTGGGAGACCCACCACAAGAAGTTTGGCGGTGTGCTGAGGAGGGTGAAGATAATGAACTGGAAGACGGGGACCCAGTCGATGACGAGTTGTTTCTGGTCACAATGTTAGCACGAAGGTCTCGAGTGATGGTCAAACAACGCCATGATATATGATGGTGAAACCCATTGCAGAGTCCACGAGCCTCGGAAATTCATACATCGGTCTGGTAGGCCGTCAGGACCTGGGCCAGTATGTTTGAAGTGCCACTGAGGGCAGCTGACTGCAGAGTTGCAGTGACGATGGGAGGCAGCGCCATGATGGTGACTTGTAAGAACGCAATTGACTTTGATTTGCAGAAGACGTGAATGAAGTTATGAGTTTAGATGAGCAATGCAGACCGTTGTACCGGGTAAACCACGGCAAGTGGACTCTTGAGAGACGTCTTCAAACCAAGGTGGCGGGAGGCAGAGAAGGATGGAGATAAGAACGGATGACGTCCTTGATGCGAAACAGGTGCCTAGAGACGTCGAAACTTATATGCGACACTGCGTGAGGAACGTGAGTCAAATGTAAGTTGCAATCTGTTCAATTACCCTTCCGAGTAGAAGCATTTGTAATCGGCAGAGGTTGAGGCTTGACGGGATGCAGGGCCGGATGGTTGAATGTTTGGCGGGGGTTCATAGGCTGTGGAGGGAGGAGCGACCCCGGCTTGTGGAGGTGGCCGGTCTCCAACAGTCCAAGTTCGGACCGGCGAATCACTGATGACATATCTGATTTGTGGGTCTCCTGACAGCTGTCCCTTCAAAGCAAGCTAGAGCTCCAATAGGCTAGACGACATGGCTGCTCACTTACATGGTTCCAGGCACAATAGGCAACAAGCACCAAGGTCAACAAAAGCGAGTCTCATTGGGCTTGAGCATAGCTATTGTACCTCATAAGAGGTCGACCATATTTGGGGGAAAATGCCTAGAAAGGCTGCCATCTTTATGAACGTCAGCAAAGTTGATTCGCTGCAGAGGACTGCAAAGCGCTTACTAGCGCAACCTTATTGGGTGTATGCCACACAGGCAGCAAAGAGCTTGCATGATGTTTTGCCGTAATATTCAATGCATTGGTAGGTAGGTACTACAATACAGGTTTCTAACGTTTGTTTTGATTCGCGTCCCCTTCATCGTCTCAACTCGTGCTCGTGAGTTGCCCCTTGTGACAAGCTCCGACCAGTCTTATAGTACAGGGATAGAGCTTCTTCATCTTCGGGTACTGTATACCTAGCCCCCCAACATGGTAGGGACTCTACACAACAAACAACGCAAGCGGCTAGGACGACGCGTCGTTATTGTATCGTACAATTCATCTATGACTGTCCGATAAATTCGCACATCACAAAAGCTGATTTCAACCGACCATCCCTTCCTTGTGTCTGACCACCGAGCAAGCGCATCCCCAGCTGCTCTCCAACTCCTTTGTCATGTTGACCTTTTCTATAGATTGGTGCTTTGGCGTGAACTTGAAGTGCCGTGATGGTGGTTCAAGGCCTCGACAGGATCCACATGAAAAGCAGCTGGACAATGTAGGAGTAGAAGAAGAGGAACTGAGTCCTCTGGTTTCGCTTGGCTCGGGAATCGCCAGTCTGCATAGGGCCGGCACCGTTGGCTGCGTTTTCAGGGAGCAGAACGTACTTGAGCGAACGCATCTAACGGAAATGTTAATCTCTTATATCACGCGACGACTTGTATGAGGACATACCAAGAACAGCGAGTTGGCCAGGAAAGTGTAAAGAAACACGCCCCAGCCAATCCACCCGCCGGTACCCTTGCCACCGTTCAGAATCTCGGCTACGGTTACGGTGACGATGATGCCGACAAACTTGTAGCCCGAGTATGCGATCAGATCGTAAAGCTGCGAATCGTTCGAGATGCCCAACAAGTAGCAGCCCAGCTTGAGACCGAGGATCTCTGCCATGACTATTACTAGGGCCGTCGACGCTGTGTATCCGAGAAGTTCTGGCTGGAACTGGCCGCGGAGACCAGCAAGGAGCGTAGAGAGAAGAATGTATGTCACGACAGCCATGACGGGAATGTACATGTCGGGACTGTTGATGTCGTCTCGCGGAGGGAGATACCATCCTTCCTGTCCGCTAGGCCCGACGGACTGCTTGCGCGACCATGGCTTGTGCCTCCAAGGGAAGAGGACGAGGACTATTTTGTTGATGACGTAGGAGTTGGAAACGTTGAAGTAGTGCTTCAGGGCGTTGACGTTAACGTATCGGTTGAACTTCAAGCAGGGTTAGCTTCAGAAGAAACTTGATGCATCTCGACAGTTGAACGGCGAGATGCTTAGAGGTCTGCCTCCCCGTCCCTAGACTTGACGTACGTTTTGCTCCATGTACTCCTGGCCATGCTTGAAAGCCGTCTGGCCAAACTGCGCTGCCACTTGCGCCGTGGGATCATTCATGAACTGTCCGTATGCGCCGAATACGTTCCCACTCGTGCCGCCTTGCTGTTGGTAGGGACTGCCACCGTAGCCTTGTTGCGACTGCGATTGCGACACGGGAGGAGGGGGCGAGCGCAACTGAGGAACCGTAGAGACATGCTGGGGTACGGGGTGGTGCAAGGGGGGCGACTGCCCGTAAGTTTGTGGACGCTGCATGATGTGCAAATGAACTCGTGGTTTCGTCTTCTGTTCGTGAATATCGTTCGATGGGGTTTGTCGGAAGATTGCGAAGCTATGTTGGATTCGACGGCGGCGTGGGTGTTGGGATGCCTCCCTTCCAGATTCTCTGAGTCCACGTCGTCTTTGGCGGGCCGCGATGGAGCTGGTACGGAAAGGTGTTTACTTCCATAGATGTCCCACATTGTCCAGATGAGCAGGACAGATAGCCGTGGTCCAAAGGGGCTTAGCTCAGAGTTCTTTTTGGCCAGCTCAGCACGAGCCCTCTCGCGGGCCTTTATGAGCCGCTAGAGGGCCTGGTGCCGGCCGGCCACCAGCTGTCGATGGCTCGCATGGGCGTATATCGATCAACGACTCTCCTTTCTTACCTACCTTATCCGTAGAGGTATCACTAATACCTTGATTAGCATCGCTTTTTAGGCTTCTCGAGGCATGTTCTTGTAAGGATGTACGGAAATTAGTATCATTCATAGGACATGTTTTCTTATTCGTGGTACGGAAGCCGTCTTAGAGAGTCTCATTTCACCAAGTATCGTATCTCCATGTTCACGCCATGGAGCTATATCTGCCGTTGGAGGGTCGATTGGGTATCTGTTTACAGGTGCAAAGAGTGGCTATGACGGGTTGATATAACGAGTTGATACAACGACTAGAGGCAAGACTCGCTGAGGAAGCAAAGACGCATACCTTAACTGGAGTTACCTTCAATTTTCATTGGTGTACTCCAAGGAAGCAACTCAACCATAGAATAGGAGCAAGCTCTCAATCCGTACTGTGTAGGCCGCCATCTCAACCATCGAAGATACAGTGCTCATACAGTGTGATCTTCCTATATCCCCAGAGCTTATCGATAAGAAAGGGTACCCCAAGGCCAAGGGTTCACCCACTCCAAGGGCCCAAAGGAGCGGCCAGCCCACTTCATTGACCACGGGTCTTGCGCCACAGGCCAGCTTTTGGGATCGAGGAAGTCGCCTCCAACTCAACTCTCACCCTCTCTCCTCTTCCACTGGTCCCCGAGTCTCCACGATCTTTGCTGTCGCCGCAAATCACGAAGCCGGAATCCCACACACAATGTTGGACACGTTCGAGATTCTGACCACCTCAGGGGTGGTCCTCTGGTCCAGAACCTATGCGCCGGTCAACCCGTCCGTCATCAACAACTTCATTGCCGATGTCTTCATCGAGGAGAAGGGCGGCGCTGCCTCCAGCCAGTCCGCGGCCAGCAACCCCCCATACAAGCGCGACCAGCACACATTACGGTATACGTTTGTAAAGGAGCTAGGTGTCATCTTTGTGGTATGGAAACCCAACAACATCTGATGCGCCGCACCTTTCCAAGCCATGGTACTAACGAGGTTTGCGAACAGGCTGTTTACAGATCACTACTTCACCTGTCATGGATTGACAAGCTCGTCGACAACATCAAGACGATCTTTGTAGATCTGTACGGAGAGCAATTGACGAAGCCGCACACGACAGTGGTCGAATGTCATAAGTTCGACGAGTACTTTGACCAGCAGGTCAGAGAGCTGGAGACAACGGGAGCAAAGGGCGACTCCAACGTCTCAGAAGCCGACTTCGCAAAGGAGGAGAAGACACTGTCTGGAAACCTCGGCGATGACCCTCCCCTCCCTCCGGGTCTGCACTATAGGGGTAAGCCGAATGCGCCGTGAAGGTGTATCAGTGTGCAAGCAGCTAACAAACCCCCTCCCAGGTCGCGGTCTGAACAGCGCAAACGAAACCTCCAACGACTCGACCCCCATCGCGACGCCCACGACCTCTCGACCCTCGACTCCCGGCACCGGTGGCGTATTAGTAGGCAAGGCCGGCCCCGTCGCCAAGATGTCGCGACGCGCGCGCAAGGCAGGCAACTCTGCGCCCCTTTCTTCTGGCGACGAGTCCGCCGGCAGAAGACCCAAGCCCGCGACGAGATCATCAACGAAGAAGGGCCGCAAATGGGACGCAGATGGCATGGCCGACGAGGAGGACGACGTGGTCCTCGACTACTCGGCTGCTCCGAAGTCGGCGACGAGCGACTCGGAAGCCGAGACGACCGCCCGCTCCTCCGCCGTCGAGCACGTCGATCACACGACATGGGGGTCCAAAACGTCAAAGGGTCAATTCGTGCTGAAGGACCTAGACGACGAGGTGCACAACATCCTCGCCTCGGCGCAGGCAAAGAACGACTCTTCCAACAAGACGGAGGCATCGGGCGGGCTTATCGGGTCCGGCCTGAGCACGATCGGAGGCCTCTTCCGCAATGTTGTCGGCGGCAAAACGCTCTCCAAGGCGGATCTCGACAAGGCGATGAAGGGCATGGAAGAGCACCTCCTAAAGAAGAACGTCGCGCGGGAAGCCGCGGTACGGCTCTGCGAGGGCGTCGAAAAGGAGCTCCTCGGCGCCAAGACGGCCAGCTTCGAGAGCATCAACGCAAAGATCCAAGCCGCCATGGAAGCCTCCCTCACAAAGATGCTCACCCCGACCTCCTCCCTCGACCTCCTCCGCGAGATCGACGCCATCACCGCCCCGCCCTCGACCTCCCTTCGCAAGGCCCGCCCCTACGTCATCTCCATCGTCGGCGTCAACGGCGTCGGCAAGTCCACCAACTTGTCCAAGATTTGCTTCTTCCTCCTGCAGAACAAGTAC